ATCTACTCAGTCTGATTTGTGACTAAATTAGAATATTCCAGAATCTATGGAATTCCCATTTCTATATTGTAATAGATGTAATAGATTCCCATTTCTATACTGTAATCTTGCCATTGCACATCTCTCCAGGAAAAAAAAAAAAAAGGTCAATACAATTGAGTCATTAAAATTTAAATGACACAAATATTCCCAGGGTGGCCACAACCATTCAGTTCATGCTTCCACTTCCAGAAGCACTAACCACAGATCAACATTCTTCCTTGACTTTTGGGCCAGTGGAGCTAAGCCAGTGGCTGCTCCCTGTTCAAGACACCCTGAATGTAAGATAATGTGGGGAGTTTCAGCTTATCCTCCAACTCAATTCTATATTACAATTTATTTTACATACTTGAATATAAGGTGGAGATTTTCATTTTCTCAATTTTCTCCCCACAGGGGGAAATAAAGTTCACATTTACATTCTTTTAGAAGCTCTCCAGTACTTTATTTTAAAAATCAAGCATTATTTTGGGGAAGATATATTATCTCAATGTTTTAGATACTTGTTAGTAAGAAAGAGGCCAAGCTACCCAACATGGATCTCATAATTGTTCATTATTTTGCAATTGTGAGTGCTGATAGATGTCATAAATAAGTTTTTCAAGATTCTTACACTGTGAAATCACAATTTTGAAATCACAAAATATAAGGATATTTTTTAAACCTTTTAAATGTTTTGAAAATGATGTATTTTCCAGTGGCAGCATCAAAAACAGACTCAAATAAGACCATATTTCAAGTCACCTCATCTGAAGTGAAGAAGACACTGTATTAAGTTGGCTTTAGCAATGTTTAAAAAGGATGGGAAGACTTTGAAAATAATTATGTCATGTGAATAAGCTGATGAATACTTCTAAGTTCTTTTACAAATGATGTGAATTTCAATATGGTAGGTAACTGATTTACTAAATTAAATATAGGAGATATGACCACTGTATCTATATCACTAAATGCTTTCATACTCAAAGTATTTTTTTAATTTATTATTTGCGTGTGTGTGTGGCGTTGAGTAGCAGGTATTCCCATTGAGAGGTATGAGGCTTTCTCATGTGGGGTCACTTTATACTTAGCATGTTCTAGTGAGTAACAGATTGGCTGTTATGAGGTCTGCGAGTGGGCCAAAGGCAGAAAGAATTGATAGGAAATCCAATCTTGAAAACCAGTCTGCTATGGGTCCTGTGTCATGTGTATTCCATCTGTTTCATTAGGTAAAACTTGGGGTTCACTTCAGTCTGAGTAGAAGGACTCATCACCTTTCTTGGGTTGGTGAAAGAAGCTTGTGAGGGGTACCCCATTCTAGAACAATTGCTTCAAAATATACCCGATGGCTGAATCCAACAGTGTTATTTTAGTCCAAATTCTTTGTATATTCATATTTTGATACCTGAATATCAGATGCTACACCTACATTGTTGCAACTCTTTCTTTGGCTAATAAAACACTCCACTTTAGGGTTTCTCTTCTATCTGAATCCAACAGTGTTATTTTAGTCCAAATTCTTTGTATATTCATATTTTGATACCTGAATATCAGATGCTACACCTACATTGTTGCAACTCTTTCTTTGGCTAATAAAACACTCCACTTTAGGGTTTCTCTTCTATCCCCCGTGCTCATTCTTCCTTATTCTCTTTTCCAGTTCTTCCATCTCCTTGTTAAATTTTGAGGTTTCTTTTACCTCTTCATGCCAGGTAGTCTCACCTACTGTCAAGGCAGGGTTCCCAATTTTATATTTCAAACTTTCCTTCTAAACTTCAAAATCATAGTTTCAGCTACTCGCTGGGATGGCTGGATTTCCACTCACATGTCAGATTCAAGTCCCCATAGGCACTCACTCCCTCCTCTTCATCCACTACCCAATCTTCCCCAAATCTGCCCTTATTTTATAGTCCTCATCAACTTTAATGGCATCACTTGTCCAAACACTTACACAAACCTGAATCCCTGAATCTGTCTTAGACTCTTCATATTTCTCACAATTTTCCCTTATGTGTATGTCTAGCAAACTCATTCTAACACCAAATTCTTTGGATTTCACCTCTGACATCTATTTCTTCTTTACTGTTTCCACGACCTTGATAAAAGACTTCATTATCTTTCATGTGGATTATCACAATGACAATAATGCTCTCCTAGCTCAACTGCCTCCTCTAGGCCCCTGTGCAGTGGCCTTTCTAAAACATGAATCTGACCATGTCCACTGCTCCTTATAACCATTTGCAACTCTTTTTTCACTATAGGACGCCATTCTCACAGCACAGCCAGGCTCTTCACACTCAGATTCTAGTATTTCTGTATTTCTAGTTTCATTTCCATTGCCTCCTCACACCATTTCCTGTTATACCTTCCCATGTAAACTATGGTCCATATCATTGGAGTTACATGCCACGTTCTATCATATCAAACTGTGGGCTCCAGGAGGGGAGTCCTTAGCTTTCTTACAGATTTCTGGGCATCTAATTTCACTATAACTATACTGTTGGCTTCCGGCTTTTAAAGGAAGTGTGGCTCCAGGCATATTAAGGCATATAAAGGCATTTAATATAAATTGACTTGTGCAAAACCAGACAACTATTGGCAAAGATAAAACTGTCAGTTGATCCAGGGGTTCTTAGCCACTTGCCACACCAAGGGCACACACCTGGCCAGGCCAGGGAGTGGTGCAGATGCTGCAACCCAGGGAGCCTTTCAATAACTTTATGGGTCTGCCTGGCAGCGCAGGGATTAAAGATAGTGTTATCAAGCTACTGCCAGCCACTACATCACCAGTTCAATCCCTGCTGGCCAGGGACCTGACCCACTTGGCGAGGCAGACCTCTCCTGTCTCACCTGCTACTCCCCTCAGTTGCTCCCACTCTCTGGTGAATCCTCTAGCCACCCACACCTCTGACTTACACCCCAGTTCTTGTATGCATAAATAAATAAATATTTAAAAGAAATAAACAAATAACTCTACAAGTTTTCACAGTACCATTGCCTCTGTTAAACAGGTCAAGAAGCAGACTTCAAGTAGTGATGAGTCTGAAAGGTTACTAATAATAAGGACTAATAAGTGAGTCAGCCAACATTCAAAGTCAGGTCAAGTTAACTGTACTTTCACTGAGACCAACCCCTAGACAGTCTTGCTGATTAGATCTAACATCATAATCTCACCTGCAAGGAAACAACCAGGAAGTAACGCCATTGCTTTAGGCTCTCAGAGTTGCAGCCCACAGGGCACACACATGCGGGTCACTGAGAGGTGGCAAGTACCATACTCTCAGTCCTACTTGCACCATCCCCAGCCTCTCATGAAAGGAAAAGTATGCGTGATCTACCCTAACACTAAGCTTTTCACATTCTCGTTGAACTCCGAAATGAAGGCCTTTGGGGAAGGAGCCTGTATGAAGCTGCTCATCTCCAAGGAAGGGGAGAGTCTGGAAATGAAACTAAATGCTGCTTCTGACTTAATGGTTTGGATGGAATGCTCGGAGCTGGTCCACCCTTGAAAAGTGCGAGTCCAAGCTCTGTCCTCTGAGGTCTGACTTTGTTAAACAACTGACCCTCCACATCTAATGAGAACACACACACATACACTCAACTATAGTCAAGGAGGAAATTGTTTCAATAATTACCTATTATAAAAAACATATGTACTTCCTTTCCTTACTATCTTTATTATACATTCCCCAAAGCGCCAAGGTCTAAGAACCCCTGAATCAACTGTCTTTGCCAATAGTTGCCTGAGTGATTTTGCACAAATTAATTTATATTTTTTGGAAGCCACAGGATTCTTTTAAGCCAAGTTGACCCCTAAGCAGCCCCTCTGCATTTTCACATTCAGAGTATCTTTTAAGATAGTTTTCACTTGGTTAAAGCTATTTATCATAACTGTAAGGAAACCTAACCTACATAATCATTTTCATAAATGATTTTTAAAACGGTAGTGAGGGGTGATGGATTGGAAGTTAATTCTAGTACTATTTTAGGGAAAAAAGAGAACTGATTCAATGCATTCAAACTCATGCCAAAATATTATGCAGGTCATTCAAAGACAATTCAGGCCAGCATCAACCAGACCGTGCAGGAATAAATGGAATGTTAAGCTAATTCCACTGGCTCAGACTCACAATTTGCTCGTGTGTGACAATGGCTCTTGGACCTATTGAAAGGACCGCTGAAATGCCATCAGATGAGGAATCAATACCAATATTAAAATTCGGGGTGGTTATAAGGGCAAATTCTATCAGTAAAACTAAGTGACAAGGAAACCACCCTCCTCCGCCCCCCCCATGCGTTGTCAGCTGACACAAGCATACAGTAAACAGTTGCTAGGTGCTCAGCAAGTTTTGTTTACATGAGCTGAATTTCTCACAACATGACAGCGGCTGGGTGCCTTAGATAAGATTAAGTGATCCAACATAGATGCCCAATAAATGCCTGTTGAATGAATATTATGTGAAAATACTCTACCAAGGGACATTACACAAATGTAGGCTAATTTTCCATTCCAAATATGAAACAGGAATTCCAGGAGGATTATTGAAGAGGCCCCTTTACCATCTTTGTGGTGTTCACAGACGCAGAAAGCATTCCCACGCAAATCCCATCAGTAAAAACACACATGAGGAAAAGAATTCATATGCTAACATTTGACTGATGTTATTGATTCCAGAGAGGCGCCTTGATCAAAAAAAAAAAAAAAGCAATCAAGAAGGACCATTTTGGAAGTCAGGAAAACTCTGATTTGGCACAACCGATTGGCTTCACACTGGAAAAATCAGACAGCTTTATATAACGTTAGTCTTATTTTAAAACGGATCTCTGGAGAAGCGCCAGGTGGGAGAGAAGGAGGGGGCCTCTAAAGAGGTTCCTTCGGACAAAGCCAGAATCCTCAGAGGTGATTTCAGCCCTCAAGGTCTGCAGAGAAAGGCCAGTTCACAGCCCGGGGCTGCGAAGCTTCCTCCAGGAGGCCGACTCACCTTCGCTCCTGAAAGTGGCCTGGGCTGCAAACAGCAGGAGCGAGAAGCAGAGGCAGCCGCTGAGCCAGAGCGTGGGCATGGCCGGGCCGGGCGCCGTCTGCGCTGCAGGGTCGCTGCCCGGCGCCTCGCGCTGGAGTTCTCACTCTGCGCTCGCTGTGCCTTCCTTTTCCTTGATCAGGTGGTTTTATCGACTCTTCTACCTGACTCAGGCCTGACAGGAAGAGAGACTGTGTTTCAGGGTGTGACTCACCTGTGAATAAGGAGGACCCAGCCCTCGGGAGGCAGACAAACACACAGCACACACAGAGCCGTAAAGCGCTCACCACAGCCGCAGGGCTCCCCTCTCGCCACACCGAGGGCACACACCTGGCCAGGCCAGGGCGTGGTGTCTGTCAGGCTCTTCCAGAGCCCTCCTTCACTCCCTGGGTGGTCCGGGGCAGAATCACAGAGGTAGCTAGCAGCCCGCCCCTTCCTCAAACTGGGAGGCCCGGTCTCAAGCGCGCAAACTCAGAAATAATTCAGCAGCTCTGAAGGGCTCTCCTCTAAAAGACATGAAGAAAACAGGCCAGTCGGAAATGGGGACAGGGTCCTCTCTGTCCTCTGACCTAGGTGCAACCTATCTCTGAAATCCAGCAGCCCTATCCCACCTTTCCACTCTGCTGACACTTCCTTCTTTCTGCCACCATCAGCAGGCTGGATCCAAGGGTCTCCTGGGTCCCCAAAACTTCCTGATAACCTGCTGCTAGCTATTCATTAAGTGGCCAGTCGACTACGGGGTCTCCCTATAAAGGCTAAGTATCTCTGTATACCTAACAACCAGTGCAGCTCTAACTCACAACCATGGTTGGTGCTCCATAGAGGATTCAGATTTCAGATTTCTTTTACATCTTAGAGAACGTTTCCTATGCCATTCTCTATGGGTCTATTAGAAAAGGTTTGTTGAAACCAACCGTATCATCTAAGACCACTGTGCTAAGTGAAGTGGGTGATAGCTGCAAATCCTGGTATATCTTCCATTTTCCCATTGCCTAAGAAGGTTGGTGGCAAAATTCAGAGAGGTAATGCTAAAGAGAAGATTTTGGTTCCTAATAGAAATGTTAAAATGACCAGAGGTTTATATAGGTAAAATTTATATACAGCCTATCAAAAACAACCAAGGTATTCTTCATCATCAAGGCCTGCAAAAGTCCCCAATAAATTTTTGTTTACTACTTAACTGAATGAATTTTCTCTAAATAGTTCTATAGACAATAATAAACACAACAAAACAATATAAGACAGTACAGTTGACCCTTGAACAGTACAGTGGCTCGGGGAGTCAGCCCGCTGTGGTTGAAAATCTACATGCAATTTTGGTCTCCCCTAAAATTTAAACACAGTCATCCCTCATTTCTTTTTTTTTTTAATATTTATTTATTTATGCACACAAGAGGCCAGATGTACGGGAGGGTACAGGCCAGATGTACAGGCCAGATGTACGGGAGGGTGAGAGGATTCACCAGAGACAGAGCAGGGAACAGAACAGGCAGACTGACAAAATACACTGGTGAGGGGAGCAGTGGGTGAGTCGGAGAGGTCTGCTGTGCCATGCGGGTTGTTTCCTGGCCGGCCGGGGGATAGAATTCATGCAGCAGAGGCTGCAGATTGCTTCATAGAGTTGTGCTTATCCCCTTGGGCCAGCTTATCGGCCCTCCCCAACCATCTGTGTTGGTTGAATTCATCAATGCCAACCCAAAGGTATGGAGGGCCAACTCTATTTATTGGGGGAGGGGAACACATATGTAAGTAGACCCCTGGAGTTCAAGCCCACATTGTTCAAGAGTCATCTGTACATGATTGTCAATGTGTATAAGAACTTCAGTTTATACCTGTAATGGAGACCAGGCTGGGCTGACCAGGATAGCTAAGGAAGGCTTTATATAGAACAGGGAGCAAGAATGAGGAGTTCAGGAATAACCAGTAACTGATATTGCCACCAAAGACAAGAGGAGTGAGGTAGTTTCCTGAAAGGGGTTAACATCCTCTCTAAAATCTTCAGCAACAACTCAGAAGGAATAGAAAGGAAACTCCAATTTTCTCATCCCAAACTTGAGTCTGTTCTGCTCTTTCCAGAATTCAAACATCATAGTCTTCTCTGTCAAGATTCATAGTGTCGGACTGCTGCTGAAGAGACTAGGTATTTAGAATTTTTTCTCCTAGTAGTGGGCATATTGAAGAGGCTGAAATATGTCACAAGCCCTTACACTCTTACGCATTGGTGTTTTGCAATGCTCAACAGTGCTGCAGGAACTAGGAACAGGATGTAGCCAAATAAAATCTTGAAGGCAAAACTGCTTTTTTAGCACAAGTTACCATATTTATTATACCTTGAAAGCTGGGACAAATGTTTTCATCTATCATTATCATCATCATTATTAATATATTCTTATAGCTAGCACATATGTACTATATATATTCTTTTTTATCCCCTTTATACATAGTTACCCTTAAGTCTTTTAAACAATACTAAGAAATAGGTGTACTATCAATTTTCCCACTTACAGATGAGAAAACAAAAGTACAGAAAAGTTAAGTAACAATCTTAGTAAGTGACAAAGTCAAGATTCCAAACGAGTGATCTATTGTAGGAATCATAAGCTTGATGCTAGGTCAGATTTATAAGTAACATAAATAAAGCAAATTCACAATATGGAAGGAATTCAACCTGTAGTGAATGGTTATTTATCAACACCCATTACCACCTGACCAGATTGTAGACAATTGAACAAATATTTCTGATTTTCTAACATGTTAGTGCTGAAAGGACCCCCAGAGGTCTCCTAGACCTGGAGGAGAAAATGAGCAGTAGGCCCTGGGTACCGGGCCAGCCCACAGCCTCTTCTAGGAGAGCCATATGTTCCTGTTTTTCTCAGTCCCCACCTCCAGCACAGCCTTGCCCTGGGCCTCTTCACTCATCTAAGCAACATGCCTGGCTCAGGCTTGTGAGCTTAGCTGGAGCTCCAGCTTCATTTCCTACCTTGCTCAGGGGTATATCAAGCCCCATAGCCAATTTGAGAATTTCTCTCCTGTGCACTGCTGGAGGAAAAGCACTCTAGGAAAGTTCAGGCCAGGGAGCAGATTCCCAAGACCAAACCCTGGCTTCACCTCTCATCAAGGCTTTTTAGTTTCTTCTGGATCTGTTTCCCCATCTGTAAAATGGGGACAATAACAGAAATTTACCTAGTAGGCTTGCTGGGAAAATTTAATGAGTTAATGACCCAGCTTGTGCTCACACCATATGCACTATACAATAAGCTGTAACAATTACTAGCATTGTTACTATTATTGGTGGCATTAAGCACCATCAGTTTTTGTCTTCTTATAACTATTTAGGAATACTGTGTGACAAAGATGGAGCCTTTCAATTCCTCTACTGACTATTCAGCTGTAATTTTAAACTTCTGTTAAACTCTTGGTCTAATCCAGGTTCATGTCCATATTAACATTTACTTGGAATTGTTCATTTATACTTTTGTTAAATATCTGGAAATTTCCTTCACGTTCAGATTTGCCCACCTGATGGTACAAGTTTTTCTGGTTTTTTTTTTTTTTGTGTGTGTGAGTGTGTTTTCATTTGAAACTATTTTAAATGAAGGGGAGTGGAAATAGAAGTGGGTCTTCTATTTCAGGGAAAATGTGAAAGTAAAATAAATTTGAATAGATATTTGTGATTAACTTCAATCAACACATGCTTCTCAGAAAGGCAACAAAAATCTATGTGTTTTTCCATGTGACCCAAATTAATTTTTTTCCCTCCAAATTCAGACAAAAATCAACTCATCACTGTCTAGCAATAAAAAGTAATGAACAGATGAAACATGGATGAAACATGGATGAAACCAGACATGAAAGACCAGATCCTATGTAATTTTATTTATATGAGATTCTAGAAAAAGAAAAACCACAAGGAGAGAAAACAGATCAGTAGTTACTAGGAGTAGGAGACTGACTGCTGTGGGGCATGAGGATACTTTTGGAAGAAGAAATATTCTGAAATATGATAGTGGTCAAAATTAACCAAAGTGTACCCTTAAAATAGGTCAATTTTATTGTCTTTAAATTATGTCTCAAAAAATAAATTGTACCTCAATAAAACTGGTATTTGAAAAAAGAAGAGAAAATCTCAAAACTCAACCTAGTCTGAAATGAAGATGATGTGTTAATTCTGTCTGCATGTGTTATGACAAAATCACAGCAGAGTCCAGGCCTAAAATCCCCACTAATCTTGATAAACTCTAAGGAGTTTCAAGCCAAAGGTCACCTCAGGCCTTTGAGACCCTGCTTCTGGAATTCTATTTTGATCATTTACAAAAGGTAAGAGTGTCATTTTGAAATATTTGCTTAGGGGCAAGAATTTCAAACCGGGCAGTGATTGTCTGCTATGATGCCTCTGATATTTTCATCTTCTCTTCCCCCGGGCCGTCACATCACCTAGAGTGTAATCCTGGTGTCCAAGGGAATGAGTTCAATGCAGAAGTTTTCCTGACGCAAGCTGGAAGGTCTTAGGGCATTTCCAGGGGTGGGGCCCGGAAGGCTGTGGCCTTGGAAGTCCCCTTAGTCCATTGTTTCATTTTCAGGTCTTCATCACCCAGGGGACTTTTCTTTTTACAATGCTGGGCAGATCCCTTCACCGTCATCTCCACCTCAACCTCCCAAATAGAATTGCAGGTGACATGTTGATTTGTGCTTGGAGTTCTGTCATTACCTTAGTTAACTCTCAGGAGGAATGTCTGGCATGCCACCCCCTTTGAAACTCACTTGTGATAAAGTTGAAGCACAGGCTGTTAACATGCCAGCAATGGACAAGGTGGTTGGTCTCCATTCCCTGCCCTTAATCTAAGTACAGAGACATTTGCCTAAAAATATTCAATAAAATAGAGCCATCAGTGGGGAGAGAGCCAACAACTCCCCTTTGTTCTTAATTGGTAAAGGAAAATGTCCATAAATGGAAATGGTTGTGTTTCCTGGATCGTCTGGGTAAATTCTCTGAGGTTGGCAGGGCTCCAGAAAGCACTGTTCTCTAAGCAAGCACCCTGGCTGAAGTGGCATGCTTCCATTTTTCTGCAGAAATGGGTAGTGTGCTCCCACAACTAGTTTTCAGGGGGCGGGAGAGGCCAGGTTAGAATTCATGCCATGTCTTTTACTTATTAAGAGAGATGATCCTTTTTCTGTGGTTGCTGGAGATCCTCCCAGACCAGGGAATTGTGGGGAATCAACAGTTATGTACAAAGAGCAACCTTGTGGGGGAGGGGGACTAGTAATTACAGATGGAAATAAATAAATCAGTTATTTGTTTGCCAATACAAAAAATGAGGAGGAGTGGTGAGAAGAGGGATACATGCTCAAAAAAGACAAAATAGACATAAAAATAAGACCAAGGGAGGGTGAAATTGTCTAAGGAGGGGCTTCCCCACCCACCCCTGCCTTTCA